CGGAAAAACGCTTGAAGACATATGGGTACGCAAATTTCTGCCCACATGCGCACAAATCGTGCTGATGCATGATGTTCTCCCATGTAAATGCTTTGCCTGCATTAATGTATTGTACATGCAAGCCCATAGACACTACAAGCCAAACGCGTTCAGTCTAGAGTTGAAGCGGGACGCAGCATAGATCACTTAGGCAAAAAAACCAGGCTAGTGCAAATGTGGATAAATACAAGTTAAGCCCATGCAATCACAATGTCGCACGCATACAATACTTCACATTTAGCGAATGCATCCCCTAGACACGCCTTGCCAGATCACAAAAGTCTCCCGCAGATATATCCGTGTGGAGTTGCGCACATCGTTGAGGAAATCCCTCGAATGGCTAACAACAATAACGATCTTGTCTTTCGACAGCCGCAACGCGTTTTCGCCACCAAGAACTTTCGAGTCGCCCACGAGATACGCCGTGAGCCAATTGATGGCTTTTAAGTCCAAGTGATTAGTTGGCTCGTCCAACAGCAACACATCGGCATCCGCAAACAAGGCGCGACCCAAGCACACCCGCATGCGCCAGCCGCCACTCAGAGCTGAGACCTTCGTGTGCTGCATAAAACAGCCAACATACACGTGTAACAGGAGCTCAACGCTTAATCAGTAGTGGTTTCGACTGATTTCTTTACAAAAATCTCTAATCGACCGTTTAATGCACAGTAGCCTCTGCGAACGAATTGAAAATGCTTGCGTGCTTCGTTTAGTGAAAGTAGTGCGGCTAAACAGACTAGACTGGAGACCCGCAGAAATGACCCGAAAAGTATTGTCACAGCAGAATTTGCGGTGGCGACTAATGCGTCAACCGCAATGTGAAAGAGTGTATAGGCTTATCGTCCGAAGTTTAGTGCGGTATCGGCGACAATGTAGAAAGTAAAGAGGCTTAGAATTGGCTAGTGAAACGTGATCCTTTTCAACTATAATAAAGCCCTGCCTGCATCTCTGTGTCGAAGCCAAGACCGCTGAGAATCATGGCTGCTGTTGCCTCAGCCTCATTGGCCCCAATTTCCTGCAGGCGGTCGAAGATTGCCGCGAGGCGAAACCCAGCCGCTGCACCCTGTAGCAAAAGCCACCGGAACGCACTACTCGTAGGCAACTATAAATACAAATGATATCTTCGGTGCCTGTGCATGTAAACATGAGCTACTCGTCTCCGTTACACACCACTTATAAAGAGGAGGTGAGGCTAAGAAACAGGTGAAGTGAACGCACCGATTGACCCTGTTGGGCCAGGAGCTCCTCCTCCTCCAACAATTTCTTACGCTCCTCGTCAACTGCCAAGACTGCCTCGAGGACCGTCTCATCGCCAAAGCGATACTCTGAAGTGCGCAACGCACACACAGGCTCACTCCACTTCAAGATTTAAATTGAATAGTCTCGAGGTCTATACGGACATGATATATTCTTCCATCCCTTTGAAGGCTAGTGAAGGCTGGTGTGCCTATTCGAATTTAAAGCAACGAGCACAGAACACATATGGTGGGGGCGCTGGATACTACAAGTGTCGAATACTTAGAGACATGCTACGCTAGGCGAGATTAGGCAGAACAGACAGGAAGCAAAGGTGACGGCAAACACACCTTGTTCCACGCAGGTTATTGTTGTATCGGGATCCACACCAAGAATATCGTGACGCGCAAGCGCATGCAGGAATGTGCTTTTCCCAATGCCGTTGCTGCAGCACAACTCGATGGATATACTACGGTGATTTAACAAAGTTACGGGGACCAAGCGTCGCAAGAGGGAGACAGAGCTGCGGCCTCCGATATTGCAATTCCAATTTGAAGTCCAATGGATAAAGCAAGTTTAGTGCAGCAGTGCCACCTCCAAGAATAAAAGATATGGCGCAGCAACAAAGTGCTCAGTCAAATGCTATGACGGGGACAAGGTAGCAAAGGCCAAAGTGCTCAGAAGTCTCACCGGCCAATGAGGCCATAACGCCTCCCTTTCATCAATTTCAAGGACGTGTCAACAAGCAGTTGTCTGCCCGCCACCGCAATTGAAAATGAATCGACCAAAATCCCTTCAGCTGCACAGAGATCATAAGAACATGCGCTCTTCATATACGGCCAATGCCAACTCAGGCAATCTCACCTTCGACGGCACCGCAAGACCCGAGGGAAATGCAGAACCGCTGACTTTCACGCATTCTATTCCGCTATCGGGACACACCACTACACTGAAGAAGACAACTCTCCCCTCATTTTTTGGTGCAAAATTTAGCGTAAAGATAAGCGAAGGAAACGGGACAAATTTGACACAAAAACAAAACTACCTGAACAGATAAGGGATGCAGCTCACCGCTGCGTTTAAGCTGAACGTCGCCGTGACGCTTCTTAGGGGGCGGAAGTGGGGGTTTGTTCTTCTCCCACTCTAGCAGCAGTCGCATCTGTTTCTCTCGCTGCAGCGCAGGCGCAAGCACAAGGCTAAACATCAATCACGGCAGCAGATGCATGTGAAGTGTCAGATTTTGGAGTGCAGCAGATGGTTCACGAGACGCAAGAAGCCAGAGTTTAGCATGGAACACAAACGGATGCACAAGAATACCTGTTGTTGTTTGCGCTGTTGCATTAGCTGCTGCTGTTTAGCTGCTTCAGCTGCAGCAGAGTCCCCGTCAAAGACCGGCGCGTTGTAATTCACCATCGCTGCGTCTTGTTGAATCCCGAGAAACGGATCGCTAAAATCGCCTTCGGCAAGTACCATATACAGAGTTGCAGACGAGAAAACTCATGCAAGAACGAATTCAACGTGTCATGCAGTCAATTGAAGTGGACGAAGCGGCTCACAGACTGGGGGAAAAGAAAAGAACAAACCAACTACTGGAAGAAGGCGAAAGAATAAGAGCCAAACGCGTGACACGCGTCAAAGGAGAAAAAAAGGCGAACAAATTCAAAAGCCGGCAGCTACCAAAAAAAGGAAAGTATTCACAGGTAAGAAGTTAGTGCAACGTACTTCACTCAATGTGCTCCCACTCGATAGGTGATCAAGGCTCGCAGATGCAAACACGAGAAGGTAAATACAGCACAAATACGCAAATACAAATGTAGCCGAACCCAAATGCAAGGCAAAACTCGACGCCGTACCCTCTGTTCTCTTCTGCAGCAAGTCTTGCAGGCGGACCGGCGCCCGTTGTTCTGCAAAGTTCCAAAAGGCACACATCTTTATATCTAATTTAGTGGCAGAATCTCTATTCAAACAATGTTTTGCTGAAACATTTGAAAGGACAGTTTAATTGATAGGCCTAACTGAGTAAGCCAATTCTGCGGGCTTTGATTGCGAATCTAGTGTTGGTGTTGGCGCCCAACTTTGTGCAGATTAAGTGAGAAACTCACCGGGCTGCTCCCGGACGTCTTCGGCGGGTTCTGTAGCTTTACATAATGCCTTCAGCTTCTGCACAAGTTGTTCGCAAATGGCCTGCAAAGTTTCACAACCCAACAGTCCAGTTTTCCATCAGTGATACGACCTTCTGCTGCTCGCGCTGCCCCCCCTGTTGCTGGCGTTGATGTCTTCCCTGCTGCTGCTATTTCTCCATTGTCGCTGTTGTCTTTTGCTCTAAGACTTTGCTGCTGCTGCAGCTGCTGCTGGTACTGCTGCTGGAAACTTCGCTGGTGCGAGTCTTTGTCATTCAGTCTGTGCACTCCTCCACCGTTATCAAGCAGTTAAATGGGTCTTAAGCAAGAGCTCTGCAGCTAGAAGATTGAAAGTCAACATCAGCAAAGACTTGAACAGGGGCTTTACCAGCGCCTCGGGTTCTTCGTTCGCCAGCCCCACATCCAACAGGAAAGCGCCAATCAGCTCATTTGCCTCTTCTGCTGTCTTTGGCAACTCCGCCTGCAGCATGCCTGCAGAGTCAAAGACAGAAATGGGAGAAGACACTGACAAGGAGCAGCTGCGGGGCCTGGGGAAAACGAACTGCGTTTAACTCGTGGCGAGATTGCTGCGACGGAGTGCTGCAGCAGCCGCAGCAGCTGTAGCAGCGCGCAGTGTGGCAGTGCAGCAAATTACCAACGAGGTACTCCGCCGTTGTTGACTCCAGCTTTCCCTGCGTGACTTCTTGCAGAATTGCGCTGACGGCTTCCTCCGTAGGCCCCGCCATCCTCTGGACTCGCAAGAGTTGCTGTAGTCTTCAGCGCGTTCACAGCTTCGCTCGCTTGCCTGTTAGGTTTTAGGGTTTGGAATCAGCGTCTAGGGTTTAGGGTTTGGGGTTTAGGGTTTGCTGCTGGAGAGGTACATCAGTCACGCGCCCAGCTGCTCCGCTGTCTTCGCCTGTGTAGGGTTTAGGGTTTAGGGTTTAGGGTTTAGGGTTGTCTTCTGCGGAGTCGAGTGGCCTGGCCTGCCTCTGTGGCTGAAGAGAGTCACAACTCCTACTAAAGGCGGTGCAGGCCTCCTCGAATTGGCTCTGCGCAAAGCCACTAGGCTTGCGGCGATCTGCTCTAACAGACCCCCCGGCGAAGTTTCTTTCTGCCTTTTTCAAACACCAAATAACAAACCACTATTCTATTTCCCCAGAAATCCTTCCAAATGATGGCCAATGTTGCCTTCGGGCATTCGGGGCTGTAGCCCCATTCCTGAGTCCTGGCCCACAGGAAGCAGCAAAAGCTCCTCTAACTCTAATTTAAAACTTCTTTCAGTGCTGCATGCATTATATGCTGCTGTGAGAGAGGAGAAGGCCACAGAAGGACTCTTCTGCGCTATCTCTCCATCAGCCAGCAAGGGGGGCCTCAGGACAGGGTCGGCTGCCACTCTTGAGAGCTTTCTGGAGTTGGTTTGAACGCAGCTTTTGTTCAGAAAGCTTCTCTCTATTGCAGTCACAACTATTTACTTCTGCGCAGCTGCACTGTTCACATTATCCTCTAGTTATTTGCAACAAGAGAAGCAGGTCGCACTTAAGCTGCCACAGCAAGACCTCTGAACCCCCGTTTCCCACTCCACGCCTGACATGCAGGCAGGTGTCCATGGCCATCGCGCGAGCTCTGCAGCTCCGCCGGACGTAAGACAAGGCAATGCGGAGGCAGCTGCTCAGCAGTTTCAAAAATAATCAAATAAATGTGGTTTGCTGTTCCTGTGGTTTCCAAGTATCCCTGTGACTACGTGGCGATCAGCTGCTGCAGCGACGCCTCTTGTGCCTGCACACAGACGACTGGAGTGGCTCGCGCGGCGGCTCGCCCTCAGCGGCTGTTTGTCTCGGCATGAGGCTTTAGAGGCAATAAAACAAGGAAATGTGCAGGTCTGCTTTTTGCTGAGCTCTGGCTTTTTGTGTGCGAAAAATGCAACTCATCTTCTGCACTCTAGTGCATTCAAGTGTATGGACAACTGAACCTAAAGCTAAATACACCGTCGCCCCTGCAACTGTCTTTTAGTTACTTCTCCTTCTAAATTGATCAAGAGCTAATTAACACGTCTTTAGAGGGAATCGAACCTTGAAGTTGGGATTTCGGGATATTCTGTTGTTTGCAGGTAGACGGGCAGACGGTGACTCGCGATGTGCAGATTTGTGACGAGGCTGAAATATCATATTTGGGTGCGCCAATATCTCTGTTTATCAAGTTTGTTTCCAACTTAGCTGCTTCCCTTTTTCCATTGCTGCCGCAGCTAAGTGCTGCTGCTGCGGTGCAGGGAGGACCCTTCCTGCTGCTGCTGCGAGGCCTGCGCTCTTCGGCATGATCAAGCCGCCTCGAGTCGCGTGTACGTACACCACAAATGGACCAGGCCCCACTCTGAAGACGCTGCTGGCGCAGTGTCCATCAGTTCCTGAGTTGCCGCTGAGGGAGATTAAAAAGTACGAAAGCGAATTGATGCAGCAGAGGCTGAAAGAGAAGGAGAGACTGAAGAAGGGGAACTGGCATGACAGAAGAGAAGCCCGCGACAGGCGAGAGACCGGGACTTCAAATATTTTGGAAGAATCGGATTTGAGGAGTCTTGAGGAAGAGGATCATAAAGGCAGCAACAAGAAAGGCAGCAGCAGCATCAACGACAGCAGCCTATTGCATATCCCCGGTCACCTCATACCGGTGGTGAGTTCTTGAACTTTATTTCTTTTCAGTTTCAAAAGCAGCAGGTTTCTCTGAGTTGCTTTCCCGCCAACACACTGCGCCTGCGAGGTGTACGTACACCTGACGCAGTGTCACCTGCACTTTGTGATGTGTTGGTGCTGGCTTTCCATCAGAATCATTTACCACTTCAAGCTGAGGGTCTCGTGCTTCTGACGAACGACGGCGAGTTCGCGCATGCACTGCGGAATCCGGCGAACAAGATCGTGACGGTGGGGTGCAGCAGCTGCAGCGTTGGTTTGCAATATTAAGACACTTCTTGTTTTGTTTCCTTGAGTTCTTTCTTTTCTTTTTCGTTTCCCTCAGTTATTTCTTTTCCTTTTGTTTCAAGTGCTTACTCTGCACAGGCCTACGACTTCAGAGTCAGCGGGCCCCTCCCCACTGCGGGCCTCTGGCGCCAGTGGGCTCTGGGGGTCCGCAAAGAGGGAGTGGATTATGGCAGAGTTTGGGTGAGGCAGTTGCTGCTGCTTGGGGTTTCTGGGGTGTATGTACACAGTGGCTTTGTCCTGCAAAGAAACTTCAGTCTCGAGTTCAGATCCTCACTTTGAATCTTTTCTGCTTCTCCAACTTCGTGTTGGCTTTCCCTCAGGTGCAGTTTCTGCGGCCCTGCCCCTCCGGCGCGTGGCTGCGGGTGAGCTGCAGAGGGTTTACAGGGAATGGCTTGGGGGTTTTTATTTTGCTTTTGATTCTTGGATTAGTTTCTTTTGCCGGGAACTTGATGCTAAATGGTTTTCTTTAATGCGATTGTGAACAGCTCAAGCTGGTGGAGCCTCCAGGCGCCGATTTCCGGGCGCTGCTCGGCAGCTGTGGGCTTAAAGTGAGCAGCAAGGAAGCCGCAGAGTTCTGAGCTGTCTTGCAAGTGTCTGGACGAGGGTTTTCGACTTTTGAGGGTTTACTTAAGGGTTTGGAGTTGTGTTTTCTGTAGATTCGCCGGACTCGGCTGTACTCCTTCGGGCCCTACTTGAGCTCCTCAGTGCCCTCCGAAACCCTCCTGCCGCTGTCTATACACCGCGCTCTCCAGCACCTAGTGCCTTCCCAGAGGCCCCGCCTCATGCTGGTGCCTGCAAAGGGGGAAACCCAACAGACCATAGAGGCCACGCAGCACTTGAAGAGCCTCAAGGGCGGGGGCTTTCCAGTTGCGCGGCTGCTCAAGGAGAGCTCAGTCCTCGTCACAGCGGGCCGCGCACGATTGAAGTGATCGGGGCAGCAGTTTGAGGCTGCTCTCGAGGTGCATGCACCGGTACATGCAAGTTCGCCTCGCCCAGCAGCTCGTAATCCTCTTTACTTTTTGGCTGCTTCTGGCATTTGGGAATGTTAAAATCCAGAGAAGAGGTTCTGCCACGCAGGAACCGACTCTGTGCAAAACCCGTGTAATCTTTTTTTTGCATGCAGTGAGTGGAGCCTCGCACATGTTGCGAAATCGCAACTGTGGACTTCAATTTGTTGTTCGTTTTTGGTGTATGTGCGACGAATTCAGTCACCGTTTGTTTGTCGCGGAAAAATCTAGAACCGATAACATATATTCAGATGGCCATAGCCTCTACCTATGTCAGTAAAAGCAGCAAGAATTGGCCGAGAACATAGTCACGAAATCCGTAGGCGACAAAAGCAATACTGCCCGGCTCTACTTACTCTGCAGCTTCCAATTATTCATTTGTAAGCTGCAAATGCTGAACTGAACTTGAAAAGAACAGCAGACACTGGCACTTGCGATGGGTAAGGTTCGCCTCTGTGCCATGTGAGGCGTCAGATGATACACGGAAAACCAAGAAAAAGCAAAATGCATCAGCCTGCTCAGTCCGTACCCTTTTGTGTGTCTGCGCAGCACCCCCACGGAACTTGCCCTTCGTGATTGTTTGCTTGTGTTTAGTACATGTAGTGGAAAGCCAGTCGATCAGCACACAACTTGCACTGATGAATGTCTTCAGAGAATGAAGTTGTTGGGAGACTGGCTTCTGTTCTTCTGTGCACGCTCTAGTGCCTTTTGCATTTTTCCTTTTCCTACTACGTACGGATGCCGGGCCCAGAACTTTGAGAAGTTTCCACACTTGTTTAGAACTGTAGTGCGAGAGTATACCTATCCGTATTTATAAAAAATGAAACAATTCCTTCCTGAGAAACAAATACTCAGGTTACCTACTGTTTAAAACGCTTTCCTCTCATCCGCCGTAGTCTAGGTGGTTAGGATACGCGGCTCTCACCCGCGCGACCCGGGTTCAAGTCCCGGCGGCGGAACTTCCGGATCCCCTTTTATCTGACCTCTTTATTACCCATTAATTGTCAATTTTGCGTTCATTTCATATGAGCATTTATCTTTTTTCTTCTTTCATGACAGCGAACCCCATATAGCGAAGAAGGGTCTACAGAGCGAAACGCCAAGCCGTTATCTGCACTTTTTGTTCAAGTGAGTCGAACTAACGGGAAGGCTGTCCTTCTATCATTGATTTAAATTCTTTCTTGACGTATGCTGCACGTCCTAAGGCGGCGGAAATGCACATAAGTAGGACTAGCAGCATTTGTCTGTTGGAGCCACAGCTCCACCAGACAGGCACAGCTGCAGCACACTTCGAGCCCAGCCGATGCTGCAGCAGCAGCAGAGTCGTCAAGGCAGGAATCTGCATGGCATATGAAGTCTGCGGATCCTTAAAACTGGCTACCAGCGCCACCGTGCAGAACCACAAATACAGCAGGCCCACCGCCAGCCTGAAGCACAGCACCCCCCCATGACTTTTTTCTTTGCATCTTCAGCTAATGCTTGTCCATTCAATTGAATTAAAGAGAAAATGCGCCACTTTTTCGTACTTCAAACGCAGCAACTGACAGCCGCGCCGACAGCCGCACTCACCGCCAGTCCGTCACTGTCACCCCTCCGCTGGAAAGCGGCCCCATTCTGGCAATGCCAAATCCCCAGAAGGTTGCACTAGCCGCCTGAGCTAAACAGAGGCAGCAAAATTGAGCATGGGGGGCCAAAAGTAACTCTAAAGAGGTCGGAGGCGCTGTGGCCAGCAAGAGCGCGAAGATGCCATGGAGAGCGCACATGGACCGGGTGACGAGTTTCAAAGACCTGCAAATGCACCGAGAGGTCCCCGAAATAACTGAAAGCAAGAAAGCAATTATTGGTGAAAACAAGAACAAAAGCGTAAATGACTAGTTATTCTTGTATCGGGAAGCCGCGCACCTGGGCTCTGACTGGCGACGGGGGCCAATGGCCAGTTCCACCATGTACAGGATCTGGCGGCAGTAACCATCATAGGCATCAAGAGATAAGAACTTTGTTTCTTCTTTGGGGGCAGAGTTTTCCAAACTTCTCCCGTAGTTTTGTCTCTGTTTCAGGAGGTCGGCGAGACAAAAGGCTGCCTCTCCATCTTTCTTCAGAGAACCCTCAAGAGGACTTGAATGAATGCGCCGCGAGCAGCCACATTCATTAACAAAACTAAGAGGCAGACAGGCGTGGCTGTCTTTAGAAGAGAAAGAGGAGTCAAGGGGCCCCCGTCTTGCACTTGAAGTCTGAAAGCTACGCGAAACTGAAACTGAGTTGCATTTGCCACTGCGGCTGAGGAAGCTAGCGGTGGGACTCAAACTAGAGTTCGAAAAAAGGGGAAAAAATGGCCAAGTCCGCGCCACAGATGTCTTTGTTGAAATAGAAGGTGCTAGCCGCAAGCAGCAGCGCCCCTGCAGCGAAGCAGCGGAATTCAAAACCATGGAGACTCTCCGAACTGCTGGGGAAAGGAACACCAGAAGAGCCTTCTGGGAGTTTCCCAGCAAATAGAGAGCCTCTTAATGCGCTTTTTTACAGAAACTTGGCAGCTTTCTTGGCATTATAGCTGGAGAGAGAGCTGCGGCTGCTGTTGCCGGTGGAGCCCCCAAGGCTTTTCAGCTCCTGTTCTGGCCGGTGGCCGTTCGAGTTTAGAAAAAACTTTGCAAATTGAAGATGAAGTAAATTCGCCGCCACATTGGTCAATTATTTCCGCAAGAATTGCGACGGATCGACACCGGTGGCTTGGCGAGGTGTCTTGCGGGGCTGCGGCTGCGGTTAGGGGGGAGGAGCCGAAACTATTTCTGTTAAGGTTCTAAATGCCAAAGTTTCGGGAAAAAAAGAATTAATATAAAGCAAACATTCCAAAAGTGGCACTATAGAGTCCAGAGATCGGGAGGCACGGCTGTGTGCTCCGGATCCAGAGAGTTCTCTCTGGGGCTTGCTGCCGCCGCTCTTCTCTTCGCGTGAGGAAGCAGCTTCAGTTGCTCCTTCGTATTGAAAGCTGCATTTTTGTGTTGTGTTTCGTTTAATGGAACGAACTGCACATCTAGTTTGTCGCAGTGAGCGAGGTTTGCTGCTGTGTCCCCGTCTCGCTGCTTGCTGCTTCCCAACCCCCGTGTGCAGCTGCTGCACCTCAGCAGCAGCAGCCCTTTCTTCTGCAAGTTTCTTTCTCCAAGTCCTCAGCTGCAGCAGCAGCAATCTCCTTGTCTTCTGTGTTGTTTGTTTCCGCAGCACGCGCAGACACCAGGCTTGTGTTGCGGCGCGTGGGTCTGCGCCAACTGACTCCCAGTAGATCTATTTGATTATTTTTTGTTCTTCAAAATGAAGCTCTACCTCAAAAAGAGAAGCGGCAAGTTCCTCGACGCCTGCGAGGTCTCCGACGAGTGCACAGTCGAAGAGTTCAAGCAGCACTTCTACAGGAAGTGTGAGTTGTCTCTTCTTTGCTGCAACAAAGCCCAGCTCAAACGAAGCATTAAGAGCAGCAACTAACAATGCTTTAAAAACTTCAAATTTGTTCCGCTGGGGGCTTAAAACGGGTTGCGCAAACACTTGAGAAGACTCGCAAGCCTTCATTTCCTTCGGAGTAACTGCTTGTCTTCTGGCTTATTTCTGTTTGCTGCTGCTCTTATGCAGTACATATCAGTCTTCAGTGTTGCTCCGTGCTGCGTGTGGCATAAGGGAGGCCACTGCTGCGCATATAGCCCAGCAGCTGCAGCAACACACGCAAGCCACGCGCTCGCTGCTGCGCTGCGGCCACTGCTGCTGCTCTGAAGCGGTGTGCCCCTTTCTGCTGCAGATAGGTACTACCCGGAGCGGCAGTGGTGGACTGTGGGCCAGCCCCAGGGGCCGGCTTTGCGGGGTGATGGTCTGTTGACGAGCTTTGGGGTGCAGGACGGCGAGACGCTTTTCTTCAAGGATCTCGGTGGGTTGCTGCAGCTGTTCGAGTCTGAAGTGATGAAGAATATGTTTTTAATTCTTTGGAGGCAGCCGCAAATCTTCATTGTCCGCCGTTGTGTCAGATCGCACTGAAGTTGAAATGGCTCGGGTTTGGGAGGCCGCAGGTGTACGTACAGCTGGTGGCGTCCTCAGGTGTACAGATTTCCTGGCGGCTGGTCTTTGTTCTCGAGTATTTCGGGCCGCTTTTTATATTTCCGGCTTTTTACTTCTTTCCTTCGGTTTTCTACGGAGAGAAAAATGCGCCGCCTAAGACCCTGACACAGACGTGAGGCAGCGGGGGCTCCGTGGCCCTCCAGGAGCACCAGATCCGGACTTTTCCGCAGTTTTGAATTTTCATTAATTGTTTCTCAAATGGACAAGACACGTTTCTAATCAATTTAGAATGCTACCAGACGCTGCACTTTACGACTTCGGCTAAAAAGAGAAATGGCGCTCTCCCCAAACTGCAGCAGCTTTCCCAGTAAACCTGCAAAAGGCTGCGCAGTCTCTGCTGCTGCTGAAGCCCGTCTCGAGGCCCTTTTGTGGGGTTCTTGCTGCTGCAGAGGCCCATAACGAGGCCTTTTCGTGCTATTCTTTTGCTGCTGCAAAGGCCCATAAGGAGGCCGTTTTGTGGATTCTTTTGCTGCAGCTGAGTCCCACAACGGGGGCCCATGACAGGTTCTTCGGTGCTGCCGCTGAGGGTGGTTCCGGGATTCTTTTGCTGCTGCTGCTGTGCGCAGCGTGGCTCTGTGGCTGTGCGTGGGGCACTTCGTGAAGCGGGAGCTGGAGACTCTGTTTGTGCACCGCTTCAGCAACAGCACAATGCCCATAGTTCGCGTGCCCCTCAACTGCGGCCACTACTGGCTCCTCTGTGCAGCCAGCATTGGCTACTTCCTCTTCCACCCCAAGTACCAGCCCCCCTTCAGGGGCGACTGGCAGTTCCTCGTTTACCTCCTCGCCGCGCTCTTCGTCGTGAGTCCAGTTCATTTTCTCTTCTGCACATTTTGGCCTCTCTTAATGATATGTATGTGTGTGTTTACACATTTATATTATATATATATGTGTGTTTACATACATTTATATATATGTATATATATATGTGTGTGTATGTACATGCATACATATATGTACGTATATGTATGTGTGTGTATGTGTATATATGTTTATATACATATATACCACACACATAGTATGTATATGTGTATGTACATATATATGCATGTATATATAAATATATATATGTATTTATGTTTATATGTATATATATATATTTTAATTTGTGTTTAGATCTTTGAGGCTTTGAACTTCAAAACGCACTTAATTCTGCGGGGCCTCCGTTCTCGGGGCACTCGCCAGCGGGGCATTCCTTACGGGGCTGGCTTTGACTTAGTGAGCTGCGCAAATTACTTTTGGGAGACGATGGCTTGGCTGGTCTTTGCTGTTTTGGTATCTTGCTTCACAGGTGCGCTCCTTGCTGCTGCTGCTGCGCTTTGCTGCTGCTGCTGTGCTTTGCTGCTGCTGCCTTTGGAATAATGGTTTGTTGCTGCCCTTTAATCAGGTGGTTTGCTGCTACCATTTGCACAGTGAAGTGGTTTGCTGCTGCCCCTAGGTGGTTTGCTGCTGCCCTTGGAATAATAAAGTGGTTTGCTGCTGCCCTTTGCAAATTAGAGCGGCTTGCTGTTGCTGCCCTTTAAACAATATGGTGGTTCGCTGCTGCTCTTTGAATAGTAAAGTGATTCTCTGCTGTCCTTTAGTGACGTGGTTTGCTGCTGCCCTCTGTGGAATAGAGTGGTTTGCTGCTGCCTTTTGCAGAATAAACAAGGGCTGCTGCTGCAGCGACAGTGCACGTGTAAACTCCCTTTTGAGGATATTCTAGTTGGTCTTGTTGAGGATCAGCAGCAGCATGGGGTGCCGCATTTGCTGTTTGCTGCGAACTGCTGCAGCGTGGCTGTTCCTGGTAGTTGCATTTGCCCAGATGGCGGAATGGGCTCTGAAGAAGCATCGCAATTATCTAAAAGAGTTCAAAGATTACCCAAAGTGAGGAAAAGCTGCAGAAAGAAGTGGCTTAGTGTGCCGTCCCGCTGCGCGGCGGCGACGCCGTTCAACTCTGCGGTGTACGTACACCCAGCTGTAGCTGCACTGCGCGATCCTCTTCTGCGGTGTCTGCGCGCAGGAATCGCAAGGCGATTGTGCCATTTATTTTGTGATACAAAAGATGTTTTTCGGCTGCGCAAAGCCCGAGGACAGGCCAGTGTCTGTCCTTTCGAAGTGCATGCCGAACTTCACTTCTCGAAGTGACCCAGGCATGCACCCGCAAGAAAATGCACTTTCATTTCGTGTCCACAGAAAGCCAAAAGCAGCAGCCCCGCTGCCCCTTTTGTTCCCCACCCTAAACCCGAAAACAAATAAATCCCGAGAAGTCCCGGAGATACACCAGTGCTCATGCAGATGAGTATATATTCTAAAGTTAACGTTTACAGTACAAGCAGAACCTTTTAATTTTAAATACTGAAGAGTAGCCAAGTGGTTTGCAGCTGTCTTCCTGTAGCCAACTACCCATACGGCATTGTAGAGAAATCTAATGTTCATGGAAACGCTAACGCGCGAAACTTGCAACCTACCGCGCTGCTGCTGCTGCTGCTGCTAGGCGGGCACTCAGCGGGGCTCTAGGCTCTGGATGCTACGCAGTAGAGAGTGGAGAGCTATTTGCTGCTGCGGCAGGCTGGTGGTGACTGCTTCCCTGGATGTTCACTTGAATAAGTGCAGCCTGCTGCAGCACAGCCATTGTGTTGGCCCCAGGGAAAGCCCAGCAGTTTGGCCGTACCCACTAGTGAGAAGAAGTGCAGGTTGACCTTTAACAAACAAAGCGAGCTAGCAGCGGCGCATGCAGCAGAGAGGGACTTGCTGCTGCCTCTCCTGACAAACCGTGCAGCAGTCCCGCTGCTGCTGCTACTGCCGCAACTGCGGCGCTGCTAGCCGTTCCTGCCGTTGCTGCTGCTCCTGCTGCTGCATGCAACGCTGCCGCCCCCACTGTGGGGCCCTGGCATCCCCGCAGCCCCGCCCCGCGCCGCTAGCGCGGGGAAGCAGCCCCTGTACGCCCCCCAAGCATCCTGCAAGGGTTTAATGTGTTGCCGCTGCTTCTCCTGAAAGCTGGAGCGGCGTTGTTGGCCGTTTCTTCTGTCCAGCTCCACCTCACCTCCCCACTGAAGCCCCATGACTGGGCGAGACTGTATACCTGCGCGTTTTGTGGAGTCCAGTGCATGCACTGGCCGGGGGAAGCTTCGGTTCAATCTTCGAAGTTCGGAAAGCAGTCTCGGAACTGGTGCTTGGGGTGTTTCGACTCCATGTGCTGCTCCAGCGTCGGCCGCTTGATCGTGCACATAAATGCTTGTCTGCAGACCTCGCAAACAACGTTTAGGTTCTTGTCCTTGGACTTGAGAGTTGAATTTTGCACGCCGCGCTGGTTGCGCCGCTGCGCACGTTCGCGGTCCACGTCGCGCTGATTCCCACGGGTCATTTTGGCCGGCTAGGGGAGGATTAAAGATTAAAAATGACTAAATAGCAATGTTTTTCAGCAAATTACGAGGGCAATCCCTGCAAGGGAACCTATTTGGGCTTATTGCGCCTCTATCTTGGTACACGAACAAACGGGGCTGCGGAGGCTTAGGTTTTGCAGGATCTGATGACACGCTGCGACACGCTTGCTGCAATGCTCACTGGCACGCGCTTCGCAGCATACACTTGCATTTCTCCTAAATTAAAAGTATATTTTAACAAATATGATTATAATAATGGCACAGAATAGTGATATTACTTGGAAGAACGATGGCATGCCCCCGTCCATAGCCTGCTGCTCTGGGGGTCCTGCTGGCGGGCACAGCTTTCTGCCACCCCAGCGGCTCTTGTGGTATTGTGAATTTAGCGGTTAGATTGTGTGTGGAGCATTAAATATAATTAAGTTGAAGACAGCAGACTCAAATAGGTATGCAATGTTGCAAATTGATCCCGAAAACAGGCGACTGGTGCATTGTTGCGGGACCTTACAGGGGGGAGCGCTTGCGTGTGTTCCACAGCAGAAGTGGGAGTCAAGCCATTTAAATTACAGCGTCTCCAGGTCTGAAATGGATTTATAGAGTGAATAGAATATGCCAACAAAATTCTTCGCTTATCTGTAGCACCGATTCCTTACGGAGGGGTGCAAGAAACAGGAACAGCACACCTCCACGATTACTCATTTTCTTGAGAGATTCCGCCGGACGAATTGTCTTTTAAGAACACGGCTGTGCTCAAAGGGAATTCCTATGCGCGTGCGTTTGTTTTTCTGGGATATTAGTTGTAAGAGAGGCAATCAGGAAGGGCGAGGGTGGGCACTCTAGGCTTGTGATTTCCAGTTGCTTGAGCATCTACACGAAGCCTATGAGTGTATCCTGCGCTCGCTATAGCTCTTAGCGAACTTGTGCACTAGACAGCGCTTCGACAGGCCACACTTCCCCTCAGGCGAAGGTGAGATGTTTGATAAGAGAAGAGCACCTGAGGAAGTCACGTCACTTCAGAAGGTAGTTCGGCGGAAGCAGTTGCCTCTAATGATAGATTAGGCCAAAAAAAGTGGACAGAACGCACGGATACACCACAACGCTGAGCAAACACACGTCAGCAATGAAGGAGATGCCTTTAACGATGTTACAGGCCAACGCCATGTTGGAATTTATCTAGTGAGAGCACTTGATAAATTCCAACGTGCCCGACTATGTTTTCTACCTTAGAGCTCGAAACGTCGCTTAGCGTTGACTACCAGCTAGCATTAAGGACTTGATGTAGAATTCCAGCCAATAAATGCATATCCCCGCGAAAACAGTCGAAACGGCACAGCTAAATTAGATGTCGGTATGCAGTAAAGGATCAGGGCCTATGGATTTCAACTTTCTGGGGGGGCTTCTGAGTTTGGCGGTTACTCTTTATCTAGACATGAGCACATCAGTTTATGTGTTCACGAAAAGGAGTATCTTTGCGAGTATGAGCTGGCTTAAGCAGAGCACTGAAATAAGTGAAAGGAAAGCAAGCTGATAAAGCCGGAAGAAAAGCTGCTCACAATGAAGCTATTTGATAGCGAAGCGTTACATAAGAGTAACTGCAGGTTTTGCAGCTCTCCAGAGTTGCTTATTTTCTCTGAATCTCAACAAAGCCATGCATCTATGCGATTCAGATGCGGCTCTCCCCTTCAAGTCTACAGACAAGGCCTTGGCTCCAGAGTTTCTTTTGGCCAAAAGAATTATTTTTTGGCTTTTTGAATCTATTCGTGTGGACTCAGGCTGGTAATCAACTTCGCGTACCACTGGAGGCATAAAGCTTTTTCTGGTAAGGGCAGAGTTCAGCCACGTTGCCAAGAAGAAAATCTCGCCATGTGCTGGCTACAATAATTCAACTTTTAGGCACTTTTCATTGATCCTTGCTTTTCTATTTTTCAAAGCAGAGCAAAGCTGATTTGAAGCAGTGTGCTTTTGCAACCCTCGCCAACCAGACCTCATCAGGACAGCCACCGGCAAAGTGACCTACCCCTTCGCTCAAAGACACTTTCAACGATAGCGCTTGGCAACTAAGACGAAGCTTCACTCTTAGTTCCCTGGTTCGATAGGCTCCGCGTCGCATGTGTCAGGATATCCGCATTTTACAGATTAGTCGAACAGGAGACGCATTCACTTGTAGTGCCTTCAACGAAGCTCACGCCCTCTCTTCCCAGGCAGTCAGGTGCACTTCGACGACTTTGCAGCAGCACTATAGAGGCATTCAATTGGTGTCTGCAGCTTTAGCCGTCACAGTTGACGTCATCCATTAGCGGAGAAAACCAGAACTTGCACAGCTACGTGTGGCCTCACCTCTTGCTGAGGGATCTTTCAGCACTTGAGGCACCAGAAGGCAATTCAAAAAGGCAAAAAGAGTCTAATGCCTTTCTTTGTCGTAAAACACCTCCTACGCTCACCCCTTTTATGTGTAGCAGTAGCGGCGAAGCGACGCCAGCGACTGCCTCTCAAAATATACGTAACTTCGGGCTTGCCGGCACTGTGTCTCTGCCTTTTGGGAAAGAATAATCTAGAATTATGCCAAAAAAGGCACTGGAGGCAGAGTGACTCCTTATCAACTCTAAGCAGAGCCTGTTCGTCTTTCGCCTCTGTCGAGTCTGCTGCGCCGCCGACTTCATAAGACAGCGAGTTGGGCCATTTCCTCTTTTCTGCGGAAACTAAAAGCTTTCCAAACTACTTATATTTACCTCGTTTTGTCATTTACTGGCTGCATGCTCAAATGTACGTCTTCTCGTGGCTAGCCAATATCGAGCACATCTGTTCCCTACTCGCCACAACAGAAGGCGCGCTTCGTGGAAGGGCCACGCCGATCTAAAAGCGTCAAGAAAAAAGCAATACACAAATGCATTTGTCTTTTAATTGAAGAGCCGCAAGGACTTCCCGGCTTGCCGCTTTTTGGCTTGTTTTGCCGAGAATCGTGCGGGCACGGGGCCCCGACCAGCGCGAGTGGGCGGTGGTGCTCGAGTGGTAACTTTGTTCTCTTTTCAAGTATCTGAAGCCTCGACTAATGTTTTCAAGATTTTTGTTTGTAAAATATATTCGAGGCTTTTAGTAAACTCGGCTTCAGCTTGCAGGGAAGACAGGTAACGGTGCTTGATCTGGCTGGACCAGCCCATTGCCCTCGTCGTCTGTGTCCCATTCATAAGCACAACATGGACCTATCAAATCACTGAGGCCAAAGAACCAGAGATTTTAGCCTTTGGGCAACACGGATACTGGCTTTTAGAGTGTCCGCCCACTCGTCAGTCTCAGTTCCCTCTCTTCTTGTCTCGGGCCGTGCCAGGGGTGCAACTCAAAGGGAAGAAGGGCACATGCATGAGACCGCCGCCTTGCAGCGCCTCCGCTGCCTCTCTTTAGGCATCGACTAAAAGGGTGGGAGATGCGGGGCACCTCTGTCCTGCGATGGCTGCTTGTAGCCGTTGCATTCACCTCCTTGGGTGGCTGCACAGGAGCGCCTTTGACTCGTCTGTATCCTCAGGCCGCGCCTCCCGAGGTGGAGGGACCCAAATCGTTCTTTCTTCTTTCCAGCAGCTCTCAGAAGAACACAAAAGAAGGTCTGAGCAGTGTCAAAGGGGCCAGAGGCGCTCTGGCCGACCCGGCGAGCTCTGCGGTGACTGCGAGCAGCGTCAGCAATAAAGCCCCTGAAACCTTTAGTGCTGAAAATGACAGCAAAATCGAAACAAAAGCTTTAAATAAGCGTTTGGCAGCAAGCGAAGAGCGCGTGGGAAGCGGGCGTTTCCGTCGGGGAGACCAGGGAGTTCTATCTAGTGACGCCCTTGACGCTGAGGCTCAAGAGGCCGCCTTGAAAGGCACGGAATCCTTAGAGCTGCAGGCTGAAAGCAAAGACCCTTTGCTTGTAAATGAAAGCCCTGCAGCGTCGCACCTGCAGGTGGGCGTGAAGCAGATCTTTGACCAGCTGCTCACGGGCATGCTGGGAACAGGAGTAAACTTGATTCAAGGAGGAGCCATGGGGGCTCAGCCCATGACAATGGCTCCGGCTGTGGGCTTTGGGCCCGCGCCCGCCTACTACCAAGCCCCCGACACGGGGCTGTCTACGATAGAAATCATTTTGATCATCAGCGGCGGCATCTTGGTCATTGGACTTGTAGGGCTCCTTGTGTGGCTGGCAACCCGCAAGAAGAGCCGAAGGCGGTAAACAAGAGATACAGGCCTTCCCCCTTCTTCCACGTTCCTCTGTCCCGCAGGATCAGCCTAGTCTGGCTTGCTGTTGGCCTTGAGCAAAGCGGAAGCGAGCTCAGCGCGCCACTGACAGTCTCGCTGGGGGCGCAGTGCCATGCACTATTTTCAGCCTCGTAGGCGCGATCTACAGCAGTTTTAGCTTTACAGAGAATCATTCTTTCATTCCGAAATGGATTATTGTAGACTGCGTTCGGGGGGAGAGGTCGTTCCGCGGCTTATTTCATAGGCTTGCTTCTAAGCAAGGCTTCATTGAAGTACGTTGCCCCTCAACCTGCCGTCTCTCCATTTCTGGCGGGCCGGTGCAGGAAATATGTATTGCGTTTCTATTTATTTCAATTGATTTCTGTTTTCGCCGAGGTACGGCACACTGAGGAGTTGTTGCCTGCCGCTGGCTAATCTATTCGGAAACGTAACAGCATACTGCATAAGTGTAAACTTTTTAGCTTCAGTCCTACTCTCCGCAATTCTTTTACGCTTCTTGAGGGAATCTCTGACTCAAAGCTGTCTCGTGAGTTGTCAGGGCTGGGGACCTCAAGTTGCCTTCGATATTGCATTCCTGCAATTACTTTGGACCCGCCCAGGCCAGTTTCTCCCCCTTGCTTCCTGGAATTAGGCTCCAGGTTAAGATGGCTAGCCGAGCCCTTTCAGTAGGGGCAGGGGCCCGGATAATTTATGTCTGCACATTTTCAGTCACTAGCGCAACGCAGTGCGTCAGTCAAGGCGTATATTTGTGTAACGACCCACCTCAAGCCGCAGCGTTCACAGCCACGCGGCTGTGACCGCCCACACCGCAGTATCCCAGTTGAAACATATCCCCAAACGAGCAGCCCCAGTTGGGGCTGGCGCTCATGGCCTAGACACTGTAGTATGACAGGCTGCAACCTTCCTTCACCTGGATGCTCGCGGGATGATGCCAAAACGGCACAGTCCCGCACCATTTCTAGAGGGGTAGCGTGCTGATGTTTCCTTCAGGCACGGATTATCGTGCACATTTGCAGAAGGCACCGTATGCTTCGCGGAGCGGTGGTTTCTCCCGTTTTCTTCCTTTGGAAAACACGATTGCTTTCTATAAGTGTTCCTCCTCCCGTTTCCTGCAAGCAACCTTAGTCGACTTTCTTGAGGACCGGGGATTCATAAGCAGCTGCAGATCCGCCAACCACGGGGCTGCTTTCCCCTTCGATGGCCAGCGCAGCACTCGCTTTCTGTGGGGGGATTGTTGCCGTGCCCTCCACGGGCTTCGCCGCGCTGTAGGACACAACGGGCGGGTTAGGGGGCAGTGGACCAATAATGCACAACACGGCGGGAAGCAGGATCATACCAAACCCAAAAGACAACACGAGAACCTGCAGCAGCACAAGGCCAAAGAAACTCCAAATCGGTAAAGTGTGGACGCTAGTTTTCAATGAAGCCATTATTGCATGAACTCCGCAATGCAACGCAAATCACTCTTGAAGGCTGTCTCATGAGAGTACTACTATTACCATATCATCCAGCACACGCAGACAAATATGTACTTACCAGAACCATCATCCTGAAGAAGGCAATCAGCACGAACTTGGTGGTACCCACGAGGTAGAAAACGGCCAGCAAAGTACTGAGCATGCCGTTGGCCACTGGGCAGCCCATCATCAACATGCCTTCCGTCATGCGCGCCTCCCGCGTGGCTCCGCAGCCGTGGGTGAAGGCATGCAGCAGGAACAGAGTGCTGTCCACTGAGTAACCTGAATTCAAAGTAAACAAAAGCGGCAGCAGTCAGAGCAGCAGAAATATCAAATGAAAGCAAGTGCCGCTTCTATGCAGGAGCCTTGAACGCAGCATCACTCCACCTGAGCAACACCAGCCTCTCTAGGTGGCGCAAGCCAGCTCAGCTTACCAATGGCCAGCAGTAAGTTCACCATAGTGATGAGGTTCAGGCGCAGACCCCACAAGGTCATGAAGCCGAAGAGGCATAAATCAACAAGCAGCACTGTGAATGCCACGATCAGCACGGACAGCAGATCAGGAATCAGCAGCACCGTCATCTGCACATTAAGAAACCCGCAAAGGACACAGCAAACAGTGAAACTTTCCAACACTGCATCACAGGAAAAGGTGCAAACAATCTCGCCGAAAATCGTAAAATGAAACTAATTCCTTGTTCCTCTCTGCAAAAGACAGCAGAGGCGAAACTAAGGTAAGTGACTGGAAAGTCTCATCTCTCATACCCAGTCCATCAGATTGTGAAACATGCAAAGGGACCAGTTGCAGGGATTGGGACGACACTCACAAAGATGATAGCAAGAAGGGCTGACAGAAGACTGTTAACTGTGCTCTTGACTGTGAACGGGTCACTTTCCCAAAGCAGGGCCAGCGGCGTGAAGGCGTGGCACTCGAAGTACTCTGCAGAGTCGCGGATCAGTTTCTGAGTGTGTTTGAACCAATCCAGCAGCAGATCGGCGTCGAGAGAATGAGGCAACCAAAATGTGAACTTCCACGCAGCGAGGCGAGGCCCGGGAGAACCCGGCGGCCGGGTGTCCCACAGAAAGGAAGTGCGGAACTGACGGCCAACAGGGTCTTCCTGAAGCCATGTGTATAGCCTGAGATGGCAGAAACAAATGGAAACAGAACACAACAAGCAATTGCGTGGATGGCCGCGCAGCCCTTAAGTTGGAAAGGGAGAGGCGACGGCGCAAAAGCCAAATCTGCTGCTCATGAAGCCTTGATGAACAGCGAAGTGAGATTTTGCTGCAGCTGAATAGGCAGGACTTGCAGTGCCATAACTGGGCACTGGACGCTAAACTTCAGAACATGACTCAATAACAAATCTGATATAGGGTCAGCATACGCGTCATAGAATTCCCTTTCGTTTCCATCTTGTAAGGAAGCGTTCTTCTCCTCGAGGAACCTGGCCATCCCGTTGTAGAGGGCAAGAGCATGGCCAGAGGCCATGAGTTCCTTGTTGACTGTCATGATGCGTTCCTTGACTTCCTTATCGGCCCAGCTTTCCCTCTTGGGAAAGAAGACTGTCACCTCCTCTCCAAGAGAGCTGAAGTACTTGGCGCGATCTGCGAAAAACGGCTGAGACCAGCAAAAACGGCGCAAAAGCAAAGCACGCATGACTGCGACTGACAGCTTTAAACTACCCTTTTTGACAGCAAGAGTGCAGATCCAAGGGCTAACAAAATGATAAACTAGATGAGGAAACGTGACGCACTCCTAGCCGCTGAGCCGTGAATGCGAGTAAGTCTCAAGGCTTGAATACCATACTAGAACTAATTGCTGCTCACAATAAGGTGGGAGTCGGTCGGTGTGATCTCGTCTGCAGTGATGCCGGTTTCCATTTGTGTCACTCCGTAGATGGCGATGCCAACAAGAGCAGCAAAGCCAACAAACACAAGCCGCCGCACCCATCTATTCCCCATCAGCCTGCAGCAGAGGCAGCAGCACAGTAGCAGCCACGACGAAGGGAACCAAGGAGTTCAACTTAGAGAAAGAGGAGCATGCAGATACGACATTCCTCAGCAGGCTCTTTTGTCCGCCAAGCATGTAAAGCAAACTACGGGGTCCCAGGCAGCCTCAGTGAGCATCCAAGTGGTGCTTGGCATTGACATTTTGCATTGTTAAGTTTTCATTCGATGGTGATCCGCCGTTCAGCTGGTTCGCTTGGCCATGGCTTTACCTGCAGTAGTACTTCCCGAGAATCCTTCTGTAGATCTTGCCTACATTTCCTTTCGGCTCGTTAATGTACCTGTCGAGCACAACCAAAAACTCCTTTTCCTCCATCAACATGTATCCATCAGCTGGCTTTCCCATGCGCATACGCACGGCGCGAGGACCAGAGTCCTCCGCATCCTCCTGCAGCTGCAGCGCCTCCGACGCAGCCTCGGACTCCTCTTTCCTGCGCAAGCAATGAGATCAGAACATTTGGAGCGAATTAAGGTGGAATATTATCCACAAGCTCTGCTTCACTCCCACCCTTCACAAGCAGCAGCGGGGAGCTACTGCTGCGGAGGTGCAGCTTGGTCGGCAGGGTTGCAGGCAGCTTGCAGTGGCATGTTTCTGTTTCCTGAGTGAATGTGCACCTCAGAAGGGCCTCGTCTGCTGCTACCGGCTCTCCAGCTACAGATCTGTCCGCCTCTTCTGGCTGCACTGCCTTCGCGCTGGCCTGATCCTCCTGCAGTGTTCCGGCCTCGAGAGAGTCGCCTCTGACTGGCGGCTGCGCAGCAGCGCTTTGCTCTGCCTGGTCCTTGGGCTCCGTCTTGGAGCCTTTGCGGAGAAGGCCGAAGAGAGTTGAGAAGCCGCAGCCGCCGCCGGTGCCCTCCCTCTGTTCGAAGCGCGCAGCTGTGGACTGGAAGTACTTGGCCACGATCTCGCGGTGGCGCTGCCAAATGTGCTGCATGCGGAAGGTCATGAGGGAGGCCAGCTCGTAAGTCGAGAGTTTCTTCAGAGCCACGAGCAGTTCGGTTTCCCGGGGGTCATGGGCGCTGCAGCCCTGCATGTCTACAGAGTGGCCCTCGGGCCCCACAGCCGAGGAGGAGGAAATCTGCTGCGGGGGTGCAGAAACGGGGGTTTCCTGTGGGGCCGAGGCCACTTGTATCTGTTCAACTGGCGCGTCGCGTATTTCATAAGGTGTTCTCTTGCCTTCCGTGCCTGAGCGTCCTTGGAAGCTCAGGGGGCTCCCCAGGGAGTCGGAGCCCCTGTTGCTTTCGAGGCTTTGGGGGGATTTGACGGATCTGTTTGAAGGGGAAGGCAGGCGCTCCATGGCGGACTGGGAACGGTACTCCTTCTGGGCAGCCAGGGCCGCCTCTTTCGCCTTGCGGGTGTAGTAAGCTTCCCTCCTGGCGTCCAGGGAGAGGCAGCCGAGGAAGATCGTCTGGGCGAGGACGTAGGACCAGGCCAAGCAAAAGGCCGTAACAATTGAGAACTTGCTGATGCTGAAGAAGGGGCAGACGGCGCCAATGATGAGCGCCGCCACGCTGGTCATGGTGGTGATCGTGATGGACACCCCCGCGTCGCGCGCAGTGCTGATGATCCTTTGCCGCGGCGTGTCGTGCAGAAAAGTGAGGCAATAAGAGTTCAAAAGCACAAAAGCATTGTCCACACCAATGCCCAGCACCAGGAAAGGCGTCGCGTCTGCAGGCGGCGTGTGTTCAACTCCGCAGAAGTAGATGAAGCCCGCGCCCCCCGCGTAGCCCAGCAGCGTGGAAGCAACCGAAACAATGGCAGGCAGCGTTTTCGTTCTGTAGTTCGTGGTGGTGTTCACTACTACTGTGTAAGTCAACACTGTCAGCGTGGCCAGCACCAGCGCCACAGTTTCCGCGGGGCCCATGGAGGAGGAGCGCATGAGCTCGTCTGCAATGGACCTTTCGAGTTTGTAAGTGAGTGTGAAACCCTCTACAGCAAAAGACTTTGCAACTTCTTCTATTTTGCGCTCCAAGGCAGCAGAGTACGGAGCCACTGCGGCGTCGCCTTGCAAGTCGAAGCGCAGCAAGCAGGCCGCCGCACCAGTAACTCTGTGGATCTGGTGGTCCCCGCCATCTACTACGGAAATGCGCATGTCCCCGAGAAGCGACTCGAGGTGGAAAGCCTTTCTGGAGTGTATGTTCACCGCGAGCGGCCACTCGCTGGTCGTGATCGGCCGCCCCCACTGCCGCTCCGACGAGTACAACTCCAAGACGGAAAGCACGCTGCAGTCATCCCAGGAGTCTCGGACACAGAGATCTTCGTAAGTGAGCACAGGGGGGAGGTCTTCGGGGGACTGGACGTTGGAGTCGAGTTCGTTTCCGTATTCGTCTGTCACCACGTCGTCGCGGTTCACAGTGAGCCTCTTGACCGCGTCCACGAGGCTGCTCACCTGCTGCATGCCCTCCTTCGTCAAAATGTTGTCGTTTCGGGACACAAAGAAGTAGTTGAAGCGCTGGGGCTTGAAGGTGGACTCCAGGAGCTGGCGCACGTTGTGGCTGGGGGCCCCCGGGTAGCTGTACAACTTGAACATGTCGTATTCGTTTTTGCGGAAGAAGATCCCCAGGGCCATCGCCGCACTCAGAATTCCAAACCCCACTATGAACTTCCACGCGTGGTCGTACACAATCATTCCGTGGCGCGCGAAAGCTGCGTCCAACATTTCCGATCCTTTCTGCTTCATGCGCGCGAACCGCTTGCGCTGCTTCGCGGGCTCTGCGGCCGGGGGGCTCGCGCTTTCTTTGTTCGACTCTGCACTTCTCGAGCCCAGCTGCTGCCTCTGAGAAGTGCCATTTGGGGACAAGTCCTCCACAAGGGGGGGCTGGCTGGCGGCGGAGCCCCCAGCCGCCGGCGGCGCGGCCAGGGCTTCCGGGTTCAACATCCTGGGCTGGCCGCCACTGCGAAATTAGTGGACAAGGCCTTAAAACGAAGACTTTTTGCCTTCTCACCAGCCAGGTTGCAGTATTTCAAGAAAAGGAATGCAACAAGGGGCCACAGGGGAAAGGGTTTCTGCGTTTCGCTGGGAAACCTGCTGCTGCCTGCGGGAACCTGCTGCTGCCCACGGGCCAAACCTTCCAATTCGAACCTGTAAAACCTTTTCCCGCAAATACTTTACTACAAAATGCAAAAACATGAAAAGAAGATGGACACAAGAGGAAGAACGAGCTCAGGCCACCGCGCACGACATCTGCACGTCTGGTTACCTGGCTCCCAGCGCAGGTGACCCACCCCAGACAAGCCAAACGCTGGGCTCTTTCGCTGGTCCTGACGGCTATTTTACTTTTTTAATCAAAATAAAAGTTGGAAGAATTAAAGAAAGGAGATAGACAGGGGCCGGTAAGAATGCGCGACGCAGACGAAACTTCCCACTGCACTGCTGCGTGGTGACCAGCGGTGCTGCTGTCGGCAGCGGCATTCACGCTGCGAATAGGCACAGCCTGCGCAGCTTAATCGCGCATTCATTCCAAAATATTTTATTTAATTTTCTGGAATTTGAAAAACGCAATTCATTTAAACTGCAGTGCTGCGCTGCTTCCCCAGCATTCCTGAATTTACCCCTTCCGCCCCACAACTCTACTGCGGAAACCAGCAGCCGCCAATACCCCTGGCAGCGCAGCAGCGAGGATGGCGCTAGAACTGCGTTCAAGATCTTTTTTCTTTTTTTAAGAATAAAAACACCAAAAACAGATTAATGGTAGAAACGAGCTCGCCTAGCTCGCGCTGCTCGAGCCGTCGGCAGTGCCACGCACCAGCCAGACCAGTAGTGTACGTACGAGAGCGCGTGCTTTAAATGCGCCTTTTTACCTTCAAATTTCCTTTTTTAATATTTAAATTTAAAAAAAGTATCCTTTTTGTAATATTTAAGCAGCTTTCTCAGCCACTGATACTGCAGAAGGCTCAGTCGGAGCCTTCAACGCCACTCCGCTGTATCTACGAACACCATGCCACTGAAAAGCGCAGAAAAACCAGTAAAGAGCTCTTTTTTGTTTAATATTTACAATTTATCTTCTCTTGTGATTTAATATTCACAATCTTGGCCTCTTTGTGGTTTAAGATTCACAAGATTCATCAGCAACTGCCCCCGCGGGCGCTGGAGAGGTTTCGTGAATTGAACTGGAATGAAGAGCATTTCAGGAGTTTGCATCCTTTCTTGTGTTTATTTCAAGCTAGGGTGTATCTACAACTGCTTACTCGTTACTCGTTTGGCAGCTAACAGATTGTGCACTTGCGAGTGCATGCGACGAGTTTCATGAGAGGCCTTTGGGCGGTTTTTAAAGCAGCAGCAGATCTGGCTTGCCGCGTCGCTGCAGCAGCAGGACAGCAGCAGCTAGGCAAAGAGCTGCGGCGCTCAGCTGAAGTCTGCAGACGCTCTGGGGCTGCAGCAGCTGCGCTCTGCAGCAGCTGCGCGCTGCAGCAGCAGCGCGCTGCAGCAGCTGCGCGCTGCGGCAGCAGCGCGCTGCAGCAGCTGCGCGCTGCTGGCGCAGCAGCTGTGGGGCCCCGCGGGCTGCTGCTCAGCGGCAGCAGCTGTGAGCGGCGCTGCATCTGCTGTTTGGTTTCCGCGCTGGCGGCACTTTCGGCTTTTGCTGCAGCCGAGCAGCGGGGAGCAGCAAAACAAATAAACAAAGAAATAAAGAAATAAAGAAATAAAAGAAATGAAAGGCAATTCGGCCAAAAAGAATCTGCATACACTACTGAAAGCCCCTCAGCCTCTGGGAGAACACCGGGGGGGTGGCGAGGGGTGTTCATCTTCTCTGCAGTTTGGGGCGCAGCGGCCGCCGCCCATAAACTCGAAATCGACAAAAGTTAGTGTGCCTTTTGACCACCAAATGACGTGCATTTGAAGGGCACTAAAAAGATAGCCTGCATGCAAAAAAGTGGCAAATAAAAAACCGAAAAATGCACGTTTTCAGCGGCTCTCAGGTGTACACACAGCTGCAACAGGCACGCTTTCACCGCCTCCGGTGTACAGACCGCTGCAACAAACTGATCCACGAGACTTCCAACTCAAATTGTTCAAATTCTTCTGCAACAAATCCATTAAATTCACATTCAGTTCGAACAGAGAAGTGCAAAAAGTATTTCAGAAATGAGGAAATTTAGAAAATAAGATCGGCAGCGGAAATATTCAAGCTTGGGAAACCCTCGCCACCCAAGCCAGCCCCGAAGTTACTTGAGTTTATTTGAATTTATTTTCAATTATTTTCAATTATTTTTTATTATTTTGAAGTTTTTTTTTGACCCACCCACAACGCCGACGCAGCAAACTGCACTCAGCCCCGAAATGTACCCCAGCAGCGCCCAGCAGCCGTTGCACAAGACCCCCATGAGAACGAGTGGCACGGGGAGGCACTCGTGCGACTTGGCCTGGATCATGAAGCACTGCAGGGCAAAAAAGAAAATAATAAAATAAACAGGAAATTATAATAAATAAATCCAAAAACAATTCAAATCGCGAAAGCGGAAAGCTGCGCATGCAGAAAGCGTTTTCCACGTTTTTGAACGGGCTTTTCAGGTGTACAGACACTCCAGAAACGCGCACTTAACAGTTGCCACAAATGATTGTCCTTTTCAGTCGCCACAAATGATTATTCTTTTGATTTTAACTTTTGAAAAATAAAATTATACTTTACCAGTCGGGGTATGTGGGAGCCAAAGAGGCAAAGACTTGCAGGAACCTGCAGCCAGCCAACGAAGTCGATGGGCAGCAGCAGCAGGAACAGCAGCAGCGGGGCTGAAGACAGCAGCAGCAAACCGAACCAGCGGATGCAGCACAAGACCATTGTGAGGGAAATTGAAGAGCAGGGCTCCCTGTGAGGCCACCGCCTTCTCCGGAGTCTGCTGCTGCTGCTGCTGCTGCTGCACCGCCACCTGCTGTTGCTGTTGCGGTCGGCTTCCGTGGGCAAGTTGCTGCTGCTGCTGTTGTCCCCGCTCCCCTCGCTGCTGCTGCTGCTGCTGCGGTTCAAACAGTTGCTGACGCTCGCGCTGCGGTGCAGCGACGCAGCAGAGGGTCCCGCAGTGCTGAGGGCCCCCCTTGGGCTGCCCTTGAGGGCCCCTCCAGCAGCAGCGCCTGCTGCGTGCTGCTGCTGCTGCTGCTGCTGCTGCTGCAGCTGCAGGGGCCTCTTCTGCCTCGCGTTAGCAGCGCGGGCCCCCAGCTTCTGCTGCGGAGCAGCACAAACCCCCACACCCAAACAGGGGGGGCCCCCCAGCCTCGGGCTTGTGGGCAAATTCGAATGATTGGGTTTCGATTTGCTTCCCCTTTGGGGGCCCCTGCGTTGCAGCGAGTTGGCAATGCCTCTGGGGGAGTCTGCAAGAGCTGGGGAGGGCCCCACGGCCCGCCGCAGCCACGAGGGGGGCCCCCCGGGGGGCC